TCTTGACCTCGTGATCCACCCGCCTCGGCCTCCCAAAGTGCTGGGATTACAGGCTTGAGCCACCGCGCCCGGCCTAGAGATGGGGTTTCACCATGTTGACCAGGATGGTCTCGATCTCTTGACCTCGTGATCCACCCGCCTCGGCCTCCCAAAGTGCTGGGATTACAGGCGTGAGCCACCGCGCCCAGCCTGTGTTTTAATGTTTATTAATCTACCCTGTCAGAGAAGAACTTCCAGTTATAGATAAGTACAATGCCAGGTCAGACCTGAAGAGTTGGGCAGCTGGTTATCTGCATGTGGCCACTAGGCTCCAGGGGAGAGGGGGTGCTAAGCTCTCACTCCCTCTGCAGCCACCTGAGGGCACCTGGTTTCAGTTTCCTGAAAGAAAGTCTTCTACCGTCTGACTATCTCATCTCCTCTGAGGTTTCCTCTCATAAACAATTTGCTCTGCTTGATATTTTTTATTTTGAAATAATGAAATACTTAAAATGTAAAGGAGTTAATATGATACCCATTTACCTATAATTGAGGTTGTCATAATTGCTGTAACTTTTTCAAAATTTTGACCTAATTTCAGACTTTTCAAAAAATTGGCCAGTTGTGATGGCTCATGCCTGTAATCCCAGCACTTTGGGAGGCTGAAGTGAGTATATTACTTGAACCCAGGAGTTCTAGATTTGCCTGGGCAACATAGCAAGACCTCACTGTTGCCAGTGGAGTAGAGACTCTTGTTACCTGTGGGAACTAGAATTAGATCACTGGGTTTTTTAGCTTTGTTGCTTCAACAGGTTGTACTGTATGAATATTATTACAAAATAAAATGATTTTAAAATATCCATCTAATGTTAATTATTTTGAACTATTTACTGATTTGATTATTCAAAGCCATTGTATATTTACAGAAAATGGGGTTTTTGTCCTCTATTGATTTTTTTTTTTTTTTTTTTGAGATGAAGTCTCACTCTTGTTGCCCAGGCTGGAGTGCAATGGTGCAGTCTTGGCTCACCAAAACCTCTGCCTCCTAGGTTCAAGTGATTCTCCTGCCTCAGCCTCCTGAGTACCTGGGATTACAGGCATGCACCACCATGCCCGGCCAATTTTTGTATTTTTAGTAGTGATGGGGTTTCTCCATGTTGGTCAGGTTGGTCTCAAACTCTCAACCTCAGGTGACCCGCCTACCTCGGCCTCCCAGAGGCTGGGATTACAAGCATGAGCCACCATGCCGGCCATCCATTGAATTTGTGCTCATACATTCTGGGCTTAATCCTGATTGTACCACTTGCCAGCTGTATGCCACTACAGAAATCATTTAACTTTTCTGAGCCATAATATCCAATGTATAATAATCACATCAAGGTAAATGACGTATCTATCACCTGAAACGTTTATCATTTCTTTGTATTTGAGACAGTGAATTAAAAGTTTGGGTAATTCTGGGTGTGTTTATTGGATCAGGCCTTAAACTAGGAAGCATTTTACAGAGACACATTAGTTACTTTGAGATGAAAGAGGGTTAGGAGCCAGGATCCTTGAATTGTCAATCAGCCAGTTACTATGGCTTCAGCCACTCCTCCTTGATCCCTATAACAGACAAGTGTTTAGAGGACCAGACTGGACAGACACTGGCCATTAATACGGCCAGAACCTTGGCGTAGTGTCTGGGATGAATTGGGTAGTCAGTGGGTGACCTCCCCACCATCTTCACTGATAATTTGTCACTCCCATAATTAGTATTCCTATATTTCTTTGGATTCATCATACCCTGCCTTGTATTATATTATATTTGCTTATATAATATTATATTTGCTTGTATACATATATATACCCTCCACTAAAATATAAGTATCTTTTGTTGTTGTTGTTGTGTTTTAGAGATAGTAAGTTTTACCATTTTGGTCAGGCTGGTCTCAAACTCCTGACCTCAGGTGATCTACCCGCCTTAGCCTCCCAAAGTCCTGTGATTACAGGTGTGAGCCACATCACCTGGCCAAATATAATATCTTGAGTAGGGATCACATTATTTATCTTTCTAACTTCCTGTGCTTATTAGCATAGAGCTTTTAATGTAGTAAGAACTAGATAAGTATTTCATTTAACTGAATAGGCACTCAAATCGCCAGAAAACATCATAGCCAGTTATCCTTGTGCTGTTTATTGAATAAGTCAGTCTTTCCCCACTGATCTGAAGTGCTACTTTGAGTGTGTATAAAATCTTAAATGTATGAACTTGAGTTACTTTGTGGTTTCTGTTCCACCTCACTGCTCCACTTGTCTTTTCCTGGTCAGTACCATTCTACCCTGCTTACAATCTAGTTTCATAGTTCTTTTTAATATCTCATAGGCCAAGTCTTATTTGGTCACAGTTGTTTTTCAGAGCTTTCTTGGCTGTTTTGAAATGTTTGTTTTCCAAATAAACTAGAGAATCAACTTTTGAAAATTGCCATTTGGATGTTAATAAAAATTGCATATAATTTATAGGTTGATATGAAGATACTTCCCTTTTTTTTGATACTTCCCTTTTTAAATGGGTTTTGATATTTCTTATTAATTTTGTTTTAGGATATTTATAGTTGTGATTATAATAAATGGGATTTTTAACATATTTCTGAACTTTCTTTTTTTTTTTTTTTTTTTTTTTTGGGACAGAGTTTCGCTCTTGTTACCCAGGCTGGAGTGCAATGGCGCAATCTCGGCTCACCGCAACCTCCGCGTCCTGGGTTCAGGCAATTCTCCTGCCTCAGCCTCCTGAGTAGCTGGGATTACAGGCACGCGCCACCATGCCCAGCTAATTTTTTGTATTTTTAGTAGAGACGGGGTTTCACCATGTTGATCAGGATGGTCTCGATCTCTTGACCTCGTGATCCACCCGCCTCGGCCTCCCACAGTGCTGGGATTACAGGCTTGAGCCACCGCGCCCGGCCTGAACTTTCTTATTTGTACAGATAAGGAAACTGAGGCACAGAGAGGGGAGATAACTTACACTGGCTCTCGCAGCTAGTAAGAAGCAGTCAAGTGTGTCATGTTCCAAGGTCAATGCCTCTTCCTGTGTCTTCCCCAATACCAGTTATTTTCATTTTTCATTACATTTTGAAACTTTAAAAGGTGCATGAGACCGAAAGTTGCTTTATATTGCATTTCTTTTTTCTTTCTTTTTTTTTTTTTTTTTGAGACAGAGTCTTGCTCTGTTGCCTAGGCTGGAGTGCAGTGGTATGATCTTGGTTCACTGCAACCTCTGCCTCCCAGGTTCAAGTGATTCTCCTGCCTCAGCCTCCCAAGTAGCTGGGATTACAGGCATGTGCTACTATACCTGGCTAATTTTTTGTATCTTTAGTAGAGATAGGGTTTCACCATGTTAGCCAGGATGGTCTCAATCTCCTGACCTCATGATCTGCCTGCCTTGGCCTTCCAAAGTGCTGGGATTACAGGTGTGAGCCACTGCAGCCAGCTTTTTTTTTTTTTTTTTTTTAATAGAGGTTTTTATCTTATCAACTGGGCTGGAGTGGCATGTTGCAATCTCAGCTCACTGTAACCTCTGCCTCCTGAGGCAATTCTCCTGCCTCAGCCTCCTGAGTAGCTGGGACTACAGGCGCCCGCCACCATGCCCAGCTAATTTTTGTATTTTTAGTAGAGATGGGTTTTCACCATGTAGGTCATGCTGTTTCAAACTCCTGACCTCAGGTGATCCTCTGCCTCAGCCTCTCACAGTGCTGGGATTACAGGCATGAGCCACCGCACCCAGTCTGGATTTCTTAACTAATAAGTAGGCTGCTTGATAACATACTTTTAAAACTGATTTTTCATCTCCTTTGACCAGTTATCCAATAGACTAATGGTGTTAATTATGTATTTGTAAGAATACAGTTTACATATTGGACAGAAATTTTTTAAGGAGTCTGTTTTTCCTTATACCTTCTTAAATAGCCTTGGGTCTTCTTGCTCACTAATTCCTCCTTTCCGCTAATTTTCTAACTTACATCTTCTGTAACAACTTCTTATCTGAAAATTCTACTGCCAGCACATATTATAGTATAAGTACCTGTGGTTATATAGAACACCCTTATCTTGTTAATATTATAGTAGTAGTAATAGTAAATAATAATAGCAGCTTTCAA